TCAGCTTTCCTGCTCCTCTGATGCTGCTTGGCCTGCTGTGTTCATCCAGCTCTACACCTTGTTATCTCAGATTCTCCAGCATCTGCAGTTCCTACTAACTCTGAAACAATTTTAATTCCCCATTGACCTGATTTTAAATGCAATGTTGTTGAACGCATAGACCAGGTATCTATACTTAGCAAGAATTACTATTTATTACAAATAAATATACTGTAGCTACAGATAAACAATTATGAACCATGGCATATAACTCTACTAGTTAAAACTCTAACTCACTTAAAAAATCCCACAAAAACAAACACATACACATATTTGTATGCACCCTCAGCTCCAACTCATGTGCTGCTTGAGCCAGCTGTGAAAACAATGACTAGAATGAGAGTCAAGTTATCCACGTTCAAAGAATGTAGTAATCCTTCAGCAATCCTTAGGTTTAAAACAGTTCTTTTCCCATCTCATCCCACAATTAAAAGTACATAAAAGTTAAAAGATAGTTATTAAAAGTTGATTATATGAATTAAAAGTAAAAAAATTTAAGAAAAAGATAGGACTAATTAAATGCAAAAAGGATGCCCAAGAAATATGCAAGTCCAAAGAAAGACAAGCTTGTTGCCTTGCGTTTCATCTAACCCTATCAGCAAATCAGGGTCATAAAAGTGTGCACAAAAAGATGCCATTTATGTCATAACGTCTGTGTCATTTGTTTAAATGAGCACTCCGATTAGTCCCATTCTTCTCCAACCTTCCCCAAAAATTGGCTTTGCAAAGTTCTCCTGTTCAAATATTCATCCAGTTCTCTTTTGATTGTTGCCACTAAATTGACTTCCACAACCCTTTTGGTTAGTGCAACCATTAGAAATAGGAGCAGAATAAGTTCATTCGGCCCATCGAGTCTGCCCTGTCCTTTGATCATGGCTGATATGTTTCTCAACCCCTTTCTCCTGACCTCTCCCCATAGCCCTTGATCCCTTACTAAACATGAAGAAAATCTGGCAATTAAAACAAAAATGACTTCTCTTGTTGCCTCTAGTTCTTTTGTCAATTGTCTTGTACCTGAGGTTTCCTTCCCTTTAACAGTATTCTTTCTCTCATACATTCAATGTAGTATCAAGTTCTACACTCTCACCATCTGGTTAAAAAGGTATCTCCTGAATTTCCTAATGGATCCATAAGATTTACTGTTTATTTGTGGCCACTAAATCCTATCTCCTCCTCAAGCAGAAGCATTTATTCCAAGTCCACCTCATCTAACACTTCTGTAATCTTAAAGACCATTATTAAGTTACCTCTCATCTTTCTCTTTTCAAGATAATTCCAAAAGGTCATTTTTTTATGATAGCTATAGCCTCATTTTTTTTTGGGTATCATCTCCATAAATATTTTCCTGCACTTTCTCCACTGCCTCTACATTCTTTTGGTAACGTGGAGGCCAAAGGTCCGTACAGTTCTGGTGTAACCAAGGATTTACGTATGTTTATTTGTCCAGGACTCAAGTGACAATTTCAAATGCTCCTCAGTCATGTCCAGCTCTTACCTTCAGCTGGATGTTGACATTACATCTCCTGTTGAGTAATATCTCCACCACTTTGACATGTCCATTCTGACTGGCAATTGAAAGCGGAGTAGCACCATCCTGCAGAAGAAAAACATGGAAAATTTACTTTTTAAATCAACTTTCTTTAAGTTTTGAAGACACTCATTCTTTGTTCAAACCCAACTCTCACATATACACTGGGCAGGCTCTGGAACACTATTCATTATTCATGTTTAAATTTTGACAGTGAGTGAAAGTAATTGAAACGGCAAAGGGAAAGGTCTTTAGTGAAGCAACTGAAGTTAGTTGTGCCAAGGACATTTCTGTGAGGAACTCCAGAGGTGACATCCTAGGACTGAGCTTATTGGCTTCCAACAGCCAATTTTCCTTTGTGCTCGGTATGCTTCCAGCCACAGGAGACATTTCCCCCAATCCTCATTAACTTTTATTTTATTTTACAAATCCATATATGGCCATTGGATCCATGTCAGCTCTCAATGAGAGCAACTCAGTTGGTGTCACTCCCTTATCCTTTTATCTGTATTCTTGAAAATATTTTCTCTTCACATAATTATCCAGTTACCTCTCAAAAGCCATGATTACATCTGTCTCCCCCAAACCCTCAAGCAACGTAAACTAGATCCTAACCTTTGGCTGCATTAAAAAAAAATTTTAGTCATGTGACCTCTGATTCTTTTGCCAAACACTTCAAACTGGTGTCCTCTAGTTGTCAACCCTCCTGCCATACGGAAGGATGAAGGGTCCCAACCCGAAACGTCGACTTTCCTGCTCCTCTGATGCTGCCGGACCTGCTGCATTCCTCCAGCTCCACACTGTATCGACTCTGACTTCCAGCATCTGTAGTTCTTGCTATTTCCTAGTTGGGAGTAATTGCCCCCCGTCTACTTTGTCCATATAACCTTCATGATTTAGAACATCTCCAACCAATCTCCTCTCATTTTCTTTTCTTCAACAAGAACAATTCTAGATTTGCCAATCTATTCAAGTAACTGAAGTCTCTCATCCTCACAACCATTCTTGGAAATCTGTTCTGCACCCTTTCCTTTCCAATTCCTTCACATCCTCTTAAGGAAATATGGTGTTCAGAACTGGATATAATGCTCCAAACAAGGCTGAAACAATGTTTTATAAAGGTTTGTTATAATTTCCTTACATTTGTACCCAATGCCTGTATTTATAAAGTTCAGGATCCCACAAGTTTCATTAACCACTTCTCAACCTGCCCTGCCATTGCATATATGAAATCACCTTGGGCCATACCGGCATGTTGCAGATTAAAGCCTCCAGTCTCATTACAGACAGTAAGTTCTCTTACTTTAGTTGCTAGTTCAGTGGAGGCCCCATACTCCAAAAGAAATTTCACAATGGTATCGTTTCCTTGTTGGGCAGCAAAGTATAATGCTGTGGAACCTGACTGGGAGAAAAGGAAGGATATCAATTCAATCAGCATAAAACCACAAGTGCTCTTGATTTCTTTCAGACTTTAATTAAGTTCTTTTAATGATTTGTTATTGTTCTTGTTAATGTTTCTTTACCCTCACACTGACAAGTATTTTCTTCTAACTTGGTTCAAGTCACTTCCTGGGCAATTTCCCTGGATGGAATTTTCTCCATTGGTGGCCATAACTTTGGCGTAAGATCTACATGGAGCATTGACCAGGATTTGTGCTGATCCGCTAACGAAGTTACACTGATCATGATGTGGAGGTGCCGGTGTTGGACTGGGGTGGATAAAGTTAAAAATCACACAACACCAGCTTATAGTCCAACAAGTTTCTTTGAAAACACAAGCTTTCGGAGCCTAGCCCCTTTATCAAGTGCAGTGAGAGGAGAGCACACAAACACAGAACTTATAGGCAGAGAGATGAAGGGCAGAGAGATCAAAGGATCATACAACTGGTGTGAGTGGAATGGACAAACCTAAAATGGCTGGTTGCCTGCTTCCTGTTGAGTTTTTAATCATTCATACATTCCTGCATTCTAGAAATTACAGAAGCAGGTAATGGAGAACTTTGCAAGTTTCGACTGGTTCAGATGCAAATTCCAGACTCTGTTTCAAGTTACACTGGCCAATCGAAAGAACTCCAGAGCAATTTTCCTGATTAAAAAAATCAGGGGGCAAGAAAAAGCGAACACAGAATTTACAGCATGTAAGCAGGATATTTTGCCACGTAAGTCTGAGTTGAGATGTACGCTTCACCTGAGTTTCCTTCCGCCTCACTTCATTACCCTACTAGCACTTCCTTTTATTCCTTTCCCCCTCCCGGCAATGTACTAATCTAGTTTCCATTTAAACACATGCATGATATTTGCCTCAATCACTCCCTTAGGAAGCAAGTTTCATTACAGTTGTTGGACAAGTGATGATCTAGTGGTGCTTTTTTTTTATTCATTCACAGGATGAGGGCATCACTTTTAGGCATTTGTTGCCCATCCCTAATTGCCCAGAAGGCAGTTAAGAGTCAACCACATTGCTGTGGGTCTGGAGTCACAAGTAGGCCAGACCAGGTAAGGATGGCAGTTTCCTTTCCTAAAGGGCATTAGTGAACCAAATGGGTTTTTCCCAACAATCGGCAATGGATTCACGGTCATCATTAGACTCTTAATTCCAGATATTTATTGAATTCAAATTCCACCATCTGCCGTGGCGGGATTTGAACCCAGTTCCCCATAACATTCTCTGGGTCTCTGGATTAACAGGCCAACAATAATACTTATCTTTATAAATGACTTGGATGAGGAAGTGGAAGGGTGGGTTTGTAAGTTTGCCAATGACACGAAGGTTGGTGGAGTTGTGGACAGCGTGGAGGGCTGTTGTAGGTTGCAACAGAACATTGACAGGATGCAGAGCTGGGCAAAGAAGTGGCAGATGGAGTTCAACCCAGAAAAGTGTGAAGTCATTCATTTTGGAAGGTCAAATTTGAATGCAGAATACAGGGTTAATGGCAGGATTCTCGGCAGTGTGGAGGAACAGAGGGATCTTGGGGTGCACGTCCATAGATCCCTCAGAGTTGCGACCCAAGTTGACAGGGTTGTAAAGAAGACGTATGGTGTGTTGGCTTTCATTGGCAGGGGAATTGAGTTTAGGAGCCATGAGGTTATGCTGCAGCTCTATAAAACTCTGGTTAGACCACATTTGGAATATTGTGTTCAGTTCTGGTCACCTCATTACAGGAAAGATGTGGAAGCTATAGAGAGGGTGCAGAGGAGATTTACCAGGATGCTGCCTGGACTGGAGGGCAGGTCTTATGAGAAAAGGTTGAGGGAGCTAGGACTTTTTCATTGGAGCGAAGAAGGATGAGAGGTGGCTTGATAGAGGTTTACAAGATGATGAGAGGCATAGATTGAGTGGATAGTCAGAGACTTTTTCCCAGGGCGGAAATGGCTATTATGACAGGGCATAATTTTAAGGTGATTGGAGGAAGGTACAGGGGAGATATCAGAGGTAGGTTCTTTACAGGGACAGCGGTGGGTGCGTGGAATGCACTACCGGTGGTAGTAGTGGAGTCAGATACATTAGGGACATTTAAGTGACTCTTGGATAGGCACATGGATGATAGTAAATAGTAGGGTGTGCAGGGTAGTTTGATCTTAGAGAAGGATAATAGGTCAGCACAACATTGTGGGCCAAAGGGCCTTTACTGTGCTGTACTATTCTATGTTCTATGTTCTATGTAATACCACTTGGCCATCACCTCCCCACTGCTAGATTATTCATCTAGATACTATTCTGGGGACTTGAGCTGGAATTCTGCTATGATACAGAGAGGAATTTGAATTCAGTAATCTGGAATTAAGAATCTAATGATGATAAAACCGTTGTAGATGTCCTTTAGGGAAGAAAACTACCACCTTTATCTGGTCTGGCCTACATTTGACTCCAGACCCACAGCAATGCGGTTGACTCTTAACTGCTCTCTATGCAGTTAGAGATGTGCAATAAATCCTGGCCTATCCCATGAACAAACAAAAAAAAATCTCAGGTGAAGAGGGTTCTCCTGTATTCCCTATTGGAATTAATAGCCCTTGTCTTTGTATGGCCTTTGTTTTAGTTTCCCTTAAAGAAACATAAGAAATTGGATACATCTACGCTACGTTAACCTTTTGAAATTCTTTCATAATTTTGAAGACTTCTATTCAGTCAATGATCAAAACAATATTGTTAAATGTGTTCCTGAATGAATAGTGCCGACCTCAGATATAGCCATTACAGTAACACTTGCTACACATTACCTCTCTTTGGAGATTGATGTCCGCTCCTTGCAGAATCAGTTCTCGAACACAATCCTTATGATTGCAGTATGAAGCCACCATCAGAGCAGTGGTCCCCAGCTGCCAATAAGAAAATATTAATGATAAACATAAACTGATGGCAGTCTGGGATAATTATTCTGATCACTTATGCATTGAATGGAGTCAGCTGACAACGCATGCAGTTAACAAAACACAGAAAAAAAGGTTTTGTTTTAGTTGTGAAAGCTTTGCTGTAAGCCCTACCACAATGGATTATGGGAAAGGAATAGACTTGTTGTTGACATGCACTCATTGACCATACACTGTCTTTGCAGTCTGCATCCATTCGACCACTGTTTAAAAGTAGCCTCAATAGAGTCACGTTTCCTTTTCGTGCAGTCCAGAATACAGCATTTGCAAGTGGCATTTCCCTCTGTTAGAAAAAAACAATTTCTGTTTCAGTAATGAAATATATCATCTTGAAATTATGTAAAATGGTTCTTAAACACTTTGTAGTTATAAGTTGGTACTCAGTCAAACACAAGTCAAATTATGCTATTGCTTTTGTATCTTGAGATGATTTGTTACACAAATTCTGTATTCCAAGCATGTTTGTGGTTCGTAATATGCTTGGGACATACTAAGGGGCAGAGCTATCCCCTAATAGTAAAATTTACAATACAATACAAAACAATACACTAATGCAGCATAGAAACAGGCCCTTCAGCCCACCAAGCCAACGCTAGCTCCTAATCCTTACTTAGACCCGCTACTTATTGCCATACATGGTTTCTATCCCTCTGTTTGCCTCCCGTTCACATGTCTGTCAAGATATGCCTTAAATGTTGCTAATGTGCCTGCTTCCACCACCTCCACTACCAGTGCGTTGCAGGCATCAATCACTCTCCAGGTTAAAGATTTTCCCTGCACTTTCCCCTAAACTTTCCCCCTCTTAGCTTGAACCTGTGCCCACTTGTAGTTGACCTTTCCACCCTGGGAAAATGCCTCTGACTATCCACCCTATCCATGCCTCTCATAATTTTGTAGACCTCTATCAGTTCGCCCCTCAACCTCCATCTTTCCAGTGAAAACAACCCGAGTTTATCCAACCTCTCCTCATAACTAAAACACTCCAAACCGGGCAACATCCTGGTAAACCTTCACTGCACCCAGTCCAAAACATCCACGTCCTTTTGGTAGTGTGGTGACCAAAACAGAATGCAACATTCCAAATGCGGCCTAAGTAAAGTTTTATACACATTTAACATAACATGCCAACTTTTATATTCAACGCCCTGGCCGATGAAGGCAAGCATGCTCTATGCCTTCTTGACCACTTTATCCACCTGTGTTGCCACTTTCAGGCATCCATGGACCTGTACACCCAGATCCCTCTCTATGTCAATGCTCCTAAGGGTTCTGCCATTTATTGTATAATTCGCACCTGAATTTGATCTTCCAAAATGCAACTCTTTGCAAATTTTCCAGATTAAGCTCCTTCTGCCATTTCTTTGCCCAAATCTGCAATCTATCTATCTCCTGCTGTATCCTTTGACAATCCTTCCCACTATCCGCAACTCCACCAATTTTGGTTTTATCCTCGAACTTACTAATTAGACCATCTACATTTTTGTCCAGATCATTTGTATATATTACAAACAGCAAAGGTCCCAGCTCTGATCCTTGCGGAACACCACTAGTTACCGATCTCCACTCCGAAAAGCACCCTTCCACCGCTGCTCTCTGTCTTTATGACCAAGACAGTTCTGTCTGTGTCTATGTATTGCAGAACTTACAAAGCACTTCACAATCACGGCAGTACTTTTTACGTATAAAGAAAACAAAGATTTTGTAGTGCCAGAGAACCGTAAGGCTGCTTTATCATTAGACGGAGATAAGTGGTGGTGAGTTTAACCCAAGGCATGGGACAAAGTTGAGAATGAGAGTCCTTCATGGTAACTTTAGCAGGTATGGGATTTGTGATGTTGGCATCACTCCGTATTGCAAACCAGCTGTCCAGTCAACCAGTGTGGTCACTGTTGGAATATTAGAAAGAGGAAGCAGGAACACAGCCAGGTTACACAAACCAAAACAAATAATGAGGAGCTAAACTGTTTTTATTATGTAGATTAAGGGACAAATATTGGCTTTTGACCTCAGGGATAACTCCCTTTCACTTCTTCAATATAGTGCCATGGAAGTTTTTATGTTCACTTGAAAGGGTGGATGAGGCAGAAATTCCTTTTTCTTTATTCACTCATAGGATGTGGGTATCCCTGGCTGGGCTTACATTTATTGCCATCTCTAATTACCCTTGAGCAAATGATGGTGAGCTGCCTTCTTGAACCACAGCAGCCCATCTCCTGTAGGTAGACCCACAATGCCTTTAGTGAGGGAGTCCCAGGAGTTTGACAGTGACCCTGAAGAAAAAGTGATATATTTCCAATTCAGGATTGGATGTGGCGTGGGGAGAATTTTCAGGTGGTGGGTGCTCCCACTATCTTCTGCCCTATCCTTCTGGATGGAAGGTGCTTTCTGAGGAGCTTTGGTGAATTTTGTGCAGTAAAAGCCAGTAAATACTGCAGAAATTCCTCAGTCCTTAAGCACATTGCACAATGGAAAATTAACAATTTGGCATTATATTGTATCATCAAGACAATGTAGTCCCAATGGCTCATCTAAAGTGTATCAAGCAAAATTTCAAACACATAAGTCAATATTGTGATCAAGAGCTTGATCAAAGATAAAGGCTTTAACGTGAATCTTGAAGCATGAGAGAGAAGTAACAAGAAAACAGAATAATTACTAGATTTCCATCTCCCAACAGGAAATGTAAATGAGCTGAATGTGTGGAAAATAACATTTGACGGAAAGCTCAGCTAGGTTTCCAATTTCAATGTTGTCCCTCTCAAATGCATCCAGTTTAGCGTAATTAGCAAATTTGGAAATGTTACAACTGGTGGTACATCCAAATCATTGATATAAAATTTAGATAACTACTAATAAAGGGATTTGCAATACACAAGTGGGCAACCTTCAATACCTAGAGTTGTTTGCTGGTCTTGTGTTGTTGCCTCATGATATTGACAAATATCATTATGAAGGATTTGTACTTTTCTTATATTAAAAATGCAATGTGTAAAATCAAGTTGCTGCTGTTGTTCCAAAACAGGATTCTCTGATAGAGTCTACTTTCAATTTGCATATTCCTTTTAAAAATGGAATTAGTACTCTGCAGCCAATCATGGAGCACATGCGTTCCTCAACTGAATTGAAAATATATCATTTCCTTTAGGGAAGGAAATCTGCCATCCTTACCCGATCTGGCCGGCAGATGACTCCATTCCCACGGCTATGTGGTTGATGCTTAACTGCACTCTGAAATGGCCGAGCGTGCCATTCAGTTGTATCAAACACTAGAAAGGAAAAAAGCAATGAGGCTGGACGGACGACCTGGCATCTACCTGGACACCGGAAACAACAATGTCAAACTCAGCTATACTGATTCTGCAAACTTATCCTTACTAACATCTTGTAATCTTGAAAAGTGTCCACATTACAGAGGAGGAGGTGCTGGATGTCTTAAAAACACCAATGTGGATAAATCCCCAGGATCTAATCAGTGTATCCCAGAATTTTGTGGGAAGCTAGGGAAGTGATTGCTGAACCCCTTGCTGAGATATTTGTACCATCAATAGCCATGGGTGAGGTGCCAGAAGACTAGGGTATGGCTAATGTAATGCCATTATTTAAGTAAAGTGGTAAGGAAAAGCCAGGGAACGATAGACCGGTGAGCCTGACATTGGTGGTGGGCAAGTTTTTGGAGGGGATTATAAGGTACAGGATCTACATATATTTGGAAAGGCAAGGACTGATTAGGGAAAGTCAACATGGCTTTGTGCTAGGAAATCATGTCTTAACTTGATGGAGATCAGAAATCACACAACACCAGGTTATAGTCGAACAGGTTTATTTGAAAACATAAGCTTTCGGAGTCTCACTCCTTCTTCAGGTGTTAGTGAGAGAGGTAGTATGAGATACAGAATTTATAAGTAAAAGATCAAAGGGTCATGCCACTAATGAGGATGTACTAAACAAACCTAAGATGCTGTTAAATCTTTAATCAGTTAGAAGGTTTTAATTGATTAACATGTATATGTAAATGCCTGAATTCCTTTCAAGATACTGTCCTGAGTGAACTAAAGGTTTTATCAGTGTAAAGAAGAGGTGACATTTTAGGTCAGAAAATGCATATTAGGTGTGAGGCCTTGTTTAGAATCTATTGTTTTAGTTTGGAGTCAGACTGGTTGTATTTCTAAAGTAGGAATTTATAAAATGCCACATTAACTGACTATAAATTGTGTGCTTTTTGAATAAAATGGAATGTATCTGCAAATACAAATTCACCCCGTAGGTTCACGTGTATGTGTGTGTGTGTGTGTGTGTGTGTGTGATGCCTCGGATCTTCAGGTAAATGTCCCCCAAGGCAGACTTCCGGATATACAATAACACAGAGTCACTGAGCAGAGGCTAATGGCCAAGTTCAATACCCATGAAGACAGCCTCAACCGGGATATTAGGTTCATGTCGCACCACAGGTGAGCCCCACCACACTATACACTCTCCCAAACACACTCACACACACGCATACATACACACACACATGCACACATACACACACAGTCACTCACATAAACACACTCATGCACTCGTGCACGCACACACACTCACACGGATCCTCTCTTATGCACAAACTGTCTCTCAAGCACAAGCACACATACACTCTCTCTGTCTCACACACACACGCGCGCACACACACACACGTAAATCTACGGGGTGAATTTGTATTTGCTTGAAACATTGGCTTGAAGGTAGAGACGGAGGGTAGTGGTTGAAGATTGGTTTTCGGACTGGAGATCTGTGACCTGCAGTGTGCTGCAAGGATTGGTGCTGGGTCCACTGCTTTTTGTCAATTATATAAATGATTTGGATGTGAATGTAGGAGGAATGGTTAGTAAGTTTGCAGATGACACCAGAATTGATGGTGCGGTGAACAGTGAAGAAGGTTATCTCAGAGTACAATGGGATATTGAGCACATGGGCTGATGAGCTGAGGAGTGGCAGACAGAGTTTAATTTAGATAAATGTGAGGTGCTGCATTTTGGAAAGGCAAATCAGGGCAAGACATACACTGGGGAGTGTTGCCAAACAAAAAGACCTCGGGGTACAGGTTCAAAGTTCCTTGAAAGTGGAGTCCCAGGTAGACAGGGTAGTGAAGAAGGCGTTTGGTACACTTGCCTTTATTTGTCAGTACATTGAGTATAGGAATTGTAATGTCCTGTTGTGGCTGTACAGGACATTGGTTAGGCCACTTCTAGAATACTGCGTTCAATTCTGGTCTCAAAAACAAAGTTGATGGACAAACTCAGCAGG